CATCCACATCATCTTCTGAGTACTGATGCGCCCAATCAATTGCTACTTTATACATGTCAGCAAGGCCATGACTTTCATCATACACCTTAAAACTGTTAACTCTACTCAATAAATCGAGGCAATATGACCCTTAGCTTTTTATTATATATTTTTTATTATATAACTAATATAAAAGCTATTGCAGCTAATTCATCCAATTTGACTCACTGATTAGATTGAGAAGTAATTTACAGTGATTAACATTAGAAGTATCTTTTTGAGAATCTATCACTACCTAACGTAAAATGTTTTTTTTTTTTTTTTTTAAATATTAAGATTCGTTTTGAATTCATTTTTATAAAAGAGAAAAAAGTCCAGTAATATATATAAAAAAGCATACTTCTCGTGTTGCTTTATTGAACAATGTACGTATTGTTTCAACATCTGTGGGATTGAACTTTATTTTGCATTGCAATAACATCATCCATAAAAATGCATTTTCGGGATTTTTTTCCACTGCTTCATTCAAAACTTTCTCTTTTTCTTCAAAATTTTCTGCTAGTCTATTGAATTTTTTAATATCCATATTTGTCCCATATCCCCTGCTGATTAACCAAAAAAGTTGTTCACGAAACTTCTCCTTTGCATCTGGATCGCCTTAAAGCATCACAATTAAATTGCTTGAGGCGAATTAATAAAGCTCTGGATGAATAGATGATACAGTTATATTTGAAATGCCAATTCTAAGATATTCTTGCACCGTATATTTTAAGAAAGGATATTCAGCGTTGCTGCAATAAAGCAAGGATTAAAAGAAGAGTACCATTCATACTAGGGAAAATGGTAAAACAAATTCAGACCATAGCTAACTAACGATAGCATAAAAAATGTCTTTGACAAAGATTCAAATAATGTCGATGCATCTTTTCAGTTGGTATATCCTCACAAGCTTTGTCAAACAAGTTGTAGAGAGAATACTGATCCTGAAAAATAACTTTGCTGCTAAACTTAAGATACATATGACATAAAATCGATTTTATCATTATATTATACTATAATACAGCATAACTCGCAAAGCAATATTGCCACATAATAAGGTTCATCTTGAACATTAAACACGTCAATCGTAAACATAAAACTAATATTTGAATTTAATAAGAACTTGCTTTTTATGCAGGTTATTCTATTAAAAAACAAAGTTCATAATAAAGGCAATAAATAGGAAAAAATTAGCGCTTAGTATTCAAACTTCAACATTTTTCACCAAATGAAAGCGCCGATATTTAAACTTCCAACGCAACTTACGTGATTCATTGTTTCTGATCTTGCAATCCAACTTTCTTCACTTTTATACTTCGGAGACCACAACATATCATACAATTTTTCTGCCAGATGATTGGCCACCAAACCGTATCTCCTTGTAGTTCTCCAGAAATTTAGCAGCAATGCTAAAGTTAACACAGCTAAACAATTAGGCCTAGCTAGCATATTAGATCATAAATTGGCATTAAAACATAACATCAACGGTTACATGGTTAACTGATAAATAAATCTCTAAATGAATCTAAATAAACCTCTATAGGATCCTAATATTTTTCATCTAAGTTATTACAAAGGTGATGGCTATTAATTAAAACTTTTATGAACCTTATGCATAAGTGGGAAGTATGAAAAACTGATCCAGTAACAGATCGTTTTTCATGAAACTAACACCGACATCGACAATTAGTAAGGTTAGTTAAAACTAAAAAATGACATACGTCTACATAAGTTTAGTAATTTCTGCAATTAAAATATATCGAGAAGAGACTAACCGCTTTTCTCTGAAGAACAGCATTCCAAGCCCTGATCAATGATTACTTGAATGACTCGAAGACCCAATATTGCATCCTGCTTACTTTTTTCCTTTACCCCTGCCTTCATTTCTAGACTTTTTTGCGCTTCCTTTGCAACTTGTAACTCCTTCTCCTCAGTACATGGTATATGATATCCTTTCCCGGTCAATATACTTTTTCGAGTAATCAACCTGAAAATATTATACTGTTGAATAAACTCTTCTTAAGACAAACTTTCAGGAATCAAGTCGACAACGTAATGACGTAAAAAGATTGTAAGTCCCAAAAAAAGCTTACATGTCAACTACTAAAATATTCTACTCAATCTTCCCACTTCCTCGTTATTTAATTGACTTGCAAATCAATTCAAATAAATAACAGCAAGATTTTCGAAAAATTGTCGCCATACTAACCATTTGACGTAGTCTAATTCCAAATGCACAAAACTAGTCCATAAACTAATTTCTTTAGGGTCCAAACGTATCCCTTCTTGCATTATACAGCGTGCACACTCTATCCTATGTTCAACTGAGTATTCATATCGAGCTGCCTGAATTCGTAAAGAAGAATCCCTCGGAAAGATCTGGAATATAATACTCCATGAATGATAATTTATCAATTATATTTGGGCTTAAATCTAGCAAGACTATACAAACCGCGGAACAGATGTGATTTAACAGCAAAAGTTATTTTTCACTTTTTTGAAACTCAACTAAAAATAATTTGTACAAGCATCGGAACACAACTTTGATTTAAACTTTACACAAATCGTCTCTCGATTTCCCATCTAACTTCAACATAGAATTACTGCACTGGATATATTTCAACTATTTCTTTCCTGACTAACATTCCGCAATAACAAAAAGAGCTTTTCTCTGGAAACTTACTTGTAATGAGCGGAAATACGCCTTACTGCATCGGATGTACATTTTTTCACTCTTCAAAAATTCAATCAAATCAAGCCAGGCTTCTAGTCGTCCCTGCAATCAGATGATGAAAGGAACCTAATATCAAAAAGAATCAATAGATTTTTTGCAGAAGCAAAATATCAATCACCATTTTACTGAATTATTGAAATATTCATATTACAAAAATATTTCTCATCAAAATATGGTCCAGTTCATCGTTATTTACCAGATATAAGAATGTAACTGAAAAAAACTGAAATCAAATACCTGAAACCGTTCACAATATTGATGAAGCAGGTTGGCAATTTTAATCTTAATTTTGCCTTCAATTTCATCTTCTCTCAATCTGTATTTAATTCGTTTTCGTCGCATCCGAACAAGCTTCAAGATCGATTCCAAATAATCGGTATATCCTTTGAACGATAATGAATCTTTTCGCTGCAAAACATATGCGTACTAATTTGTTTTCGTACTAAAACACTAAATGATATGTCTTAATGCCACACTTGATACTTGATGATATAAAGCAACTTTAGATGATGTTGTATGTTTGATAATATTTTAGTATTAGGAACTTCTCACTATTTTACAACTTAGGAGTTCATCACAGTTATCAAACAGCATCAGCTGAAATGAAGAAAAAGTACTCACAGGCTTCTGAAGACGATACTCAAAAAATTGACAGCGTTTGACAAATGCATCAATTTCAGTGGGTGATAACAACTGAATACCTTTTAAGGTTTCGAAAACAGGTAGCAAACCTTCGATATCTCCTTCTACAAATTCACTCATCCTTCATCCGCTGATTTATACAAGTGATCTTAAACTACTCTGAAACGAGTTATCACTGAAGTTACCTGATGTAAGAGAGGCAGCAGAAAAGGTTCACACGATTAAAATATACATGTATTTATGTGTATGTTGAAAGCATCACTGGTTATTCATTATGGCAAATCGGTTTTACATGGAGCAACTTGTAAATTACTATCTGAATCATTTCCGGGTAAAACTAATATTAAACATTATTTATGTAATTCCGGATTATCAACTGAAGCACGTATAATATTTTAATAATACTTCGTTGGATTCTACTTGTGATATCCAGGTAGAAGCGATTTCCCGGATCAACCATACGTTGCTCATTAAATGATTGAGTTCATTCCATTTCAACATTAATATATAGGACGGCTTTACACATTATCAAACAATACAAACACCAGGCTGAATAATAAAAGGCTCATAATACCAGGTAAAAGGCACATCCTTACCGCACCACCTTCGAGACCTCAACACCCATTTAATGTACAAATTTAATTGAGTCCGTTATGTCATAACGAGCGTCTCATGGAAATAAGTTGAATAATTGGAGAGACAAGGGCAAGTGCTACATTAGCAAAATTAGAAGAGCGTGTTGCGGACGCGTCACATGATTGGAATCTGACACAAATGTATTCTATGAAAATTTTTCTATTTATTATTCTTGATACTTATAATTTCAAAAATAACATACAATGTTTGTTTTAGAATAATGCTTTAGCAATTTATTTCTGTACTGTTTACACGTAGGAATACCATAAAATCTATATTTAAACTTTCTAGAACAGTTCATGTTGTTAATGTTGTGGCTTTGATTCACGGAAATTTTGCATTTATCTCGTGTTTATTTCAATCTGTTCATTCAATTCATCAGTTACATTACCACAAGTAAATGTTATAAGTTGTCAGGATATCTTAAAATTATATCAGAAATCTTAGAAATCGATTTACTTTATTAAAGTTGTTTTATTTTACATCAAGTAGAAGTAATCTGTTAGGTAGAATGACGGCGTGTCAGACTGAATCCTTGATATTTTGTCACGTTTTTTCCAGATTTTAATTTCATCTTTATTGCATATCCCGTAAATTTGTCCGTGGTACGTGTTACTTTTTCTCGATTGTGCTTCATCCTTCTTTGTCTACAACTATCGTGAAACATCGGTCGATTGAGCTGAGGTTCAGAATCAATTTCATCCGATTCTTCACAATCTAACTTGTCGTCGTCAGAGCTTGATCCTGTACATTAGTGTGTATAAGTGGAAATTGATATTTTTATTCTTGTATGATTTTATTCAAATAATACTTGATTCTCTCTATGTGAGGAAATGTAGATTCTTTATGTTTCATCTACGTGTTTCCATGTCACAAGCGTATTAATGCATGAAATAGTCATGCAAAATAATTACTCAACCCTTCCGGATACCTGGAAGATAATATCCAAGGAAACTTAGTAAGAAGTTTGTTAATTCTTTAACAAAATTAACTTGCCATTAAAGTTTTCTGCTTCAGAATCATCGTTAGTTATTTCACTGCTTGATTCTATCCTATCATGATCTATCCCTTCATAATCATCATAATTATCGGCACTTGCATCACTTCCTGAAGAAAATTGACCATTTTCATCACCGTAGTTACTTTCGACAGATTCGACAGATTCACTTTCTGTATCGCCGTAAATAGCTGATGATTCGGATTCTATAATACTGTTACATTCAATAGTTTCCATTTTCATTTCATCTTGCTTCGAACTTTCATTTGGATGGTACGTCGAATCTTGACAAACATCTGTCTCATTCTTTAACAGTGATGAATTGCTGGTACTAACTTCTGAAGGCAAAATGTTAAGATTTGTTTGCTTTGAAAAATGCTGTGCATTTTCAGGTTTGTTCGCACAGAATGGACAAAACCAGTCATCTTTCGGAATTTGTTCAAGTTTTTGCGGCAAGCAATAGCTATGATAAGCGACATTACAGCGTATCATGGAACCATCAGCATTTTGACCAACGTTTCCATCGCAAAGTAACAGTAGATGTTCATTATCTGAACGTCTGCATGAACGACAGCTTGCATATTGAATAGTGATATCTTCATCCAAAGATCCGTTATAACCTTCTTCCAGTTGTTCTCGGGCAAGAAGCTTAAAAAATTTTCAATATTTCGAACAAGTTTGTAAAAAGCGAAATTTCGAAATATTTAAGAATTAACAATATGGTAGCATTGTTAATTCCAATCTCTATTTATTAATTGCGATAATCACTGCGACGGTTGCGACAATTATTGAGACAATCACTCGTAATAATAATACATTTTAGCAAATGATTTCCTTTTTGGAATTTCGATATTGTGGCAATAATTTAAAAGGCTGGATATGAATTTTTTGAACTGAAGTTTTCAAATCCCAAAAGTTTAACTTCAATGATTTACATTTTGTTATTAACAGAGCAAGATTATGCACTTTCTACCTTTCTTCTCTTAATTTACTTAAATTTCGCTTAATTTAACTGTTTTATTTGTTCAATCTAATTGGGAGCAAACATATCAATAACATTATCTAAAATATTTAGTAATTTAAGCAACGAATGTATTTCGCTCTAATAATATATATATTAGATACATCAGAAACAAATAGTAAAAATGACAGTAATGCGAAGAACGACAACTAAATATTTTTCAATGATAATAACGATGATGATATCATTGATAATGCTAATGAGAAGAATAACCTCATTTTCAAATTGCGTTGCTGTTCGTTTTTTTACTGGTACTTTTGTTTCTTCCTTAGTTTCTTCAATTTTGATGAGATATTTCGGAGTATTACCACAAAGTGGACATTGGGATCGCTTTTTTAACCAATTACTAATACATTCAAAGCAAAATTTATGCTCACAATTATCAGGTTTTCCAAGCGGATATTTTAATCGATCCAAGCATACGGTACAGTTTAATTCCATATTTTCACTGTTGTAGATTGATTAGAATAACCCTTCTGTGATCTTTGAAAAATTTATAATTCTGATGCACACTTTGCCGGCACTCTCCTCCAATTATAAAATAATAAAATGGTTATTATCACATATTAATCAATTATTATACTAAAAATATGATTGAAATTTGCAAATATTTTATGCAAAAATTTTCAAAATATTACAAAAATATAATATGAAGAAGAAAATGAATCAAAAAATTAAATTAAATCGTAACATTCTCAAAAATATTTTTGCTAAGTGTTGAGAAGAAAAACGATCTGAACAACATTTTGGATCGGTTTTATTTCAGCCTTAAGTTTCTTTTAAGAAATTTCATTGTTAAAACTTTTTTGAATTTCCAATACAATCAATAATTATATCAACAAATCATTGAAGTAATAAAGGAAAAGAAACATACAATAAATATAAAAACCATATAAAACTAAAATATGAAGTAAGAGAGTTAAAAAAGAATTTTATAGTATATTAACTTAAGACTAAACCGAATTGCAGTAAGTGCAGTTAAGGAAAAAATATGCAATACGTACGAAGATGAAATAAACATCACATTGCAAAAAGCATACAATTAAATTAGAGTTTACAAAAAAGCATGCAAGAAAAAACAAAAAAAATTATTACATATTAATTATTGCTACAAAAATTAAATCATTCGATGAAAAATAGTTCAATTTTTTTTAGGAAATAATTGGTTCCTTTTTTCGATAATAAATAAGTTTATGAAATATAAGATGCCGTTTAGGTGACAGCTTTTTATTCCACCTTCTTTTTTAAAATGCAATTAAATTTTGTAACAAAAGGAAAATTGAGCAAAAAGTTCAAATTAAAATTTGAACTTTTAATATAACCAATAATTATATCAGCAATTTGTTGAACTTTTTGAATATTTCTCTTTGTTTTTCAAAAAATCTATTTTGATTCCCTCAAAAATTCCTCCCTCCCCGCCTGCCCCTCAAAACCTTCAAAATGCATAAACTTTCAAAATAAAGCTATCATTGAAATTATCAACCAATTAAAATATCATCTCTTTTTATAATTTGTCAATAAGTAGCAAACTGATGGAAAACGTTGTTAAAATTGAATTGAAATTGCATCATTAAGCATTAGCTTAAATTTATCTCTTTAATTAATTTATATTAGTTAAATTAAAAGCAATTAAGTTAAATAATTAAAATTAGTTCTAAACAAAAGAAACAAAATATATCAAAGGTTTTTATTTTGCTGTAATTTTTTATTGTCTATTATAAATAAATGATCAAAAATCTGCAACAAAATGAAAAACTTTGCAAAACTATTAAATATATTTGTTTGCAATTATTCATTAACATACATTTTAATTATTATAATTCAAAAATTGATAATGAATATGACATAAATAATTTCTTCATGTAATTTGAGATTTTCAACTTCATTGGATTCTTTTTACCAGTCGTGAAAGAGATCAATTTGTTCTTTAGTTAGTACCTGAAAATTGAATATTTTCAGATCTTTCATTTATAGCCAAAAATGAAATTATATCTTACAGTAATTCTTCGTTCCATTGCTTTTGTTTTAAGAATTTCGCATTTATTATCAGCAAAAAGGCTGTAATTAAAAATTTATTAATATTATTTAAATGTATTTAATTATATTTCAATATTTCTAGTAATGATTTTTTTACATTTGAGAAACTTTATTTTCAACAAGCCTTATTTTATAACCATTTATTTTACTGAGAATCATAAATGAAGCTTATTTTATGGATAGAATTTATATTACTTAAAAAATTATGTTAGAGATTATTTTCCGCGTGCGTTTTATTTCCTTGAAAATACTATTGCTAAGAATAATGGAACTTCGGATGTCGAGGCATTTTTAAATTTCAATTTTTTGCATATTATAGTATATAACTTTGAAGGAATAAATTTTTCGCTTTCTCAAAAAGCAGAATGTTCAGTCAAGAATCGAGAATCTGGCATTAAAGGATTTGAAAGATATCGATAATTGTTTTCATTTAAATACTAAAAAAATGATGAAGATGGATCGGAATGTCAAAATCATATATTGATTTCAAGTTAAAAAATAATCCAAATATTTCGCATTTAAATTTTAAAATTAATGCCATGAATACATATATGTTTGAATTGTTGAAATTCAAAATATAATTTACCATTTGATCTTCCTCATCGCTTTCATCATAGTCACCAAAATTGCTGGTATCACCAGTACATTGCAATTTTGGGATGATTGGCGGCTGAAGTTAATTTTCATCAAAAATTTTATTTTCAAATAAATTTTATTTCATTTTTCTTTGGCATAGTATATTACGTATAATGAGATTAGATATTGATTAGAGTTTAACAACTGTTTTCGAGATATTTTCATTATAAGAAAGAATCCGTCATTGAAATTTTTCCGCCCATAGCATTCAGGCGGTATTCTCAAATTGCTAAATGGCTTTATCTATCTATCAATAATTTCTCGATAATTTCTAAGAAATTATCAAGCGATATCAAAAGAATATTGTAATTCAATTAATGAATATTATCAAATTTGCAAAGGTTTTATAAAAATTATTTCACAGCAGCAAATTTATTACCGTTATTTTCATATTGATAACATCATCCCATATGATATCATTAAACCATTTATGAATTTTGATATCCTTAGCACCACCTTCTAAATTACCTAATCGTTTGGATGGATCTAATTGAAGAAGTTTCTTTATCAGATCTCTGAAAATACATTACAAAGTTTTTTATTGTACAGTAAAATGAAATTATATTCTAAAAAATTGAAACGAATTAAGCAGAAATCATCAAAAGTTATCATAAGTTGTCCACTAAAAGGAATTTGACAGCAAATTATAAAACGAATATGCGTAAGCATGAGACTAAAAAGACATATTTTATCATTGTATACATATACCTTCAGAGGTGTACTTTAATTATTAAAACAGGATTTAACTAATTGTTATGTCAGTATGTGACAGATGTCAAATGTGAAATTAATGTTAAATTGAAATTAATGTTAAATTAATTTTAGCAGTATAATTTGCCTAAAAAAATTTTAAGACTTACGCTTTGAAATGAATTAATTTAACTGAAAAACAATTGAATAGCAAAATGTTTACTTCGTGAAGAAATCCATATTTTTCGGGAAATCTATCCGACCGGTCATAATTTCTTCATAAATATTTATAAGTGTATCTTCCTGAAATGGTGGTAGCCCAACGAGCATCTCATAAATAAGAATGCCCAATGACCACCAATCGACAGCTTTATTATAACCTTTACCATCGATCACTTCTGGTGCCAGATATTCTGGTGTTCCACATAATGTATTAGTCCTGTATCGTATTCCTAATTAAATATTACTTACTTGCAAAAAATTTGAAGTCATTTAGTGAATAAAAATTTTTTAATCTTACTTTTTAAATTTAAATTCGAGCTTATTCTTTGCTACGTTTACTTTCTTAGCTTCATAAAGAAGCTAAGAATGGGAAAGTAAATGTGGCAACTTTATGAACTTATCTGATATACTCAATTTCGATTCCAACTTTGTATTTTTTAACAACTATTGATATCAAAATTTCTGGTCAAATACTAAAGTATTAACTATCAAAAAATTTAAAAACCAACTTGTTATTGATAATTTTAGCAAATCCAAAATCGGTTAACTTCAAATGGCCAATTTTTGTTAACATCAAATTTTCAGGTTTCAAATCACGGTAAACCTGAAATATAAATGAATTGGAATAAAATATCAGTGAAAATTTTGTTCGATTACGTAAATATTGCAAATATTTGTGATTTTATTAAGATCAGCTTGGAATTTATTTTATAAATAAAATTTTTCTTTTAACTAATCCATTTAAAATTGCAAATATTTGAACTAAACTTAAATTTAAAGAAGACAGTTGCTTAACGGAATGATATATTTTAATTAATGTGTTTAATAAACAATAGTTAAAAATTAAATTCCAATAATTTGTTAATGAACTAACAATATTTTTAGAATGCAAATATTCCAATGCTAACAATACTTCACATGCATAGAATCGAGCAGTTATTTCAGGAAATCGTTGAACATTTCGTAAATAAGAAAATAGCTCACCACCGGGGAGATATTCAAATAAAATATACAAATTTTGACCATCACATTTTGAACTATACCTATAATTTCTTCATTTAATTAATGTTAAATCCTATTATCCAATCAAATAGATTATTACTTGAGTAAAGTAATTTTTGAAATCATCGAAAAATATTTCAAAAATGCAATTTCGTGAATGAATGTAATTATTTCGATTCTGTTAGAAATTGTTATTTTATTAATTACAGGTGTTACTCATAAATTACTTCATAATTATGTGTTACCTTTATGATTTCTCAATATCATTCGTTAAAATTAACCTTACCATTTTTTTGTTTATAATTTTTTTAGTTAAAAAAATTTGTAAATGAAAAACATACATTTTAACAATGAAAGGATGCTTAAGTGAAGCCAAAATTTTCTTTTCGGAAAAGACATGATTTATTTGTCGTGTTAAGATTATTTTACCGATTGACATTTTTTTAAGCGCATAGTAATATTTTTTAGTATTACTATCACGTGCCAGATATACTCGACCAAACGATCCCATTCCTTTAATTGAAATTTTTCACATTGTTGAATAAAATTTTGTTAATTACATTATTAAAATTAAGTTACAATTATGTTATTGAAATAATAAAACAATAGTAAAAATTCTTGCTATTATTTATAATATCGTTTATTTAATGTTTCTTTTTCATATCAATTTCAAATAAAAAAAATAAATAAATTTACATGTAAATATTTTGTTAATAAATTTAAGTTTATATTGCAAAAATTTTTACTAATAACTAAGAAATATAAATTTTTATTTTTCTTTATTATTTAAATGTTATTAACTTCGATAGTTTCGAAATTAATTGAATTGAAATGAAATGAATTGAAATGAATTGAAATGAATTGAATTGAATTGAATTCGTCTAATGCATTCATTTTCTATTTCAATTTTTTCCCATTTAGCCTAAAATTAAATAAAAATATTTTCTGCCAAAATTGAAAGAAATATTTTATTCAAATTTACTTTTACTAATAACGTCGAAAATTTTCAACGTATTTTAAGTGCAAAAATGTAAAAAAAGTCATTTGTTTCTTCAATAAATGTCTTAATGACACGTGAAAATGACAAAATTTGTTTGTCAATTATTTTTTTTAGAATTTTTATTTTGCACTTTTCTTAGCTTTCAAAATAGTTTAAAGTTTATTAACAGATGAAAGGGAATAAACAAGAAACATTGAAAGAACTTTTATATGTATTCAGATATCACATAAGTTCTTCAATTAATTCTGTTTTATGATCAATCAATTAAATAGTAATATAATTTCATTTTTTTTAAATTTTAATTTATCATATCTTAAAGCAATTTTAAAATTGTAATTGCTTATTTAAGCTAAAATTTGAAATGCGATTAAATTCTTCGCACTTATTTATAAATCTTTCCTGTTTTGAATGTTTAATGTTTGTTTATTTGTTCATTTACATTCATATCTTCTGAATGTTTATTCCTAAACTTATTTCATTCGATGCAACAACAATATGTTAACAGTTTAATAACTGAATAACAAATTTCTATTATTTTTCGTAAATTAATGTCTAAAAATTGTTTTCATTCCATATTGTTGTTTATTTTAATTCAAAAAAACAATTTCATTCTTAGCGATTTTAAATTTCAATTATTTTCTAGAAAGAAAATTGCTTTGTGTTAAAAAATTAAACAAATTTTCTGGTACATTTCAAAAAAGGAATTTTCATGATTAACATTTAGATTTAAACTCTGTAAGAAAAAATAAGCTTTCAGAAATAAGTTTTAAGATCATAATTCAGAATATGAATTTTAAAACCTCACCAATAGTTTGCATAGATTCCACAGCAGCGATACTAACCGATGTTACTGAATCATCGTCCGGTTCGGTTTTATCATCCACCATATTGTTGGTGATACCCATTTTATTATGATTACCGCAGATTGAGCTATCTTTATTTAGTTTCAAATCTTTAATAAGCAAACGATAAATGAAATCAACCATTTCAGTTGTCCTCTATGCTAAATCAAGAACTAATTAATTAATTAATAATATATCGCCAAATACAAATTCGAAATTCGAAATTTACTGAGCTAAAATTATTGCATAGCTATGGTTTTTGTACAAAATTTCAAAGTAATATTGAACGACTCATAAACAATTTCTAACTTTGAAATGTTTAATTTTTTCATTGCAATAATTTTATTTATTCTCCGCGCTGTAATTGACAGCTGTTCCAAAATATGTGAAGTATTTTAATGATATCTATTAATTAATATAAATTATTACTTAAAGAGTTGAAATTTTTAGTTGAAATTCAGAAGAAAAATTTAATTTGCTAATTAAAAACATTTTATATACAGCAAAATTAGCTATAAAATTTTGAATTTGAAGCTTTTTTTAATTACGACAATTTTTGAAATATATTTTACTTTTTTTTCAAATTTTTGCTACTTTTCTAAAACAAATAATTCAACTATTTAACTTAACGAAAAAAGATGAGAAGTAGGATTATGTAATAATAATATTAATAATAATAAATAATAATAATTAATAATAATGAATAGCAATAATAATAGTAATAACAGTATTTTAATTCATGGCACAAAATAGTTCAATTAATGAATATATTTTTCACAGTTACGTTTTAATTAATTATCTTTAGATCTGAAATATAATTACAAGATAAATTCTTTTCAAAAAGCACGGAATGCAAAAAGTAAAATTTAAATAAATAATAATTTCAATTCATTTTACTTTAAATTATTGTTTTTACTTCTTATTTTTTCTCTACTTGTAATTGAATAATAATCATTAAAGATTACTTATCAATATATTTATCAAAAATTTATCACTGAAAGATCAATGATTTATTTAATTATTATGTAAAAAATATCATTGTCTAAACAAATGTCATTGTCTAATAAATACTAATTAAAGAAAATGATAATAAAATTATTAGAAAAACTGAAAATTTTTGAATTTATCTTTCTACTTCAGTTTAACATTATTTATTTATAAATACTGCCTTGCAGTAATATGTCTGATAACCATATTATCGTTATCTTTAAATTCAATAGGAAGCAGTTAAATTTTAAATTCAATAGGAAACAGATCACACATAAAGCTGCAATAATTTCCCGGGTTATCGCGATGCAAACATCTTCAACTATTGAGTTTATCAATATTTCATTTATTCCAACTTATTGTATTTATATTACTAGAAAACAAAAGAGCAAAAATAAAATTCTAATAAAATTAAAAGCAAAAATTTTACGGATCAAAATTATTCAAAATTTATATTCCCTTCAATTATTTATTTCATGGATTTCTCATCGTTTTACAATTATTTTGTTTTTCTTGTTGTTGACAGCTCATTTTGTTATGTGAAAGCAAAGGAAAAAATTCAATTAACTTAAACGATTCGAAATAAGCAATCAGTTGATTAAAAATGCATTGTTTAACTTTCCATTATTTTTTCATTAACTATAATTGAATTAATATTATTTCTGTCATAAATAACGAACTATTAAACTAAATTATATGGAAATAAATTTATGTTATTTTGTTTATTCAATGCATTTTAATTGCTATTATTTAACGAAATAGAATTTGTATTTAAATTTTTAATCGAGATGAAATCGAAAGTATAATTAATATCTGTGCCTGTAACCAGATGAATAAAAGACTGGCAAGAATTGTAATTAAATTCTAAAATAGCTAAAATTTAATAGCTAAAATAGCTAAAATAAAATAGCTAAAATAGCTAAAATTTAAGAAAAGACTAATCTAAACATTTTTAATTTAGCGAATAAAAAAATGGCAAAAAAATCATTTCTAAATTTTTAAGCAAAATTAAAATTGAAAATATAATTAGCATAGGCATTTGTAATGTAATAAATAAGGAGATGAAAACAATAAAAAAGGAAATTAAAACGATGAAATGGATGGAAAATATTTTAGTGAAAGGAAATAGGAGAGGATGTTAGCTATCAACATTGTAAAGAATGTTAACATGTTGATACGCCTATCTCTTATCAATCATTACTTTAAAACTGAGCAACTAAAACAAAATCAAATATCCGCTTTTACTAGTCCATCAACAAATACTTCTATTATCTAATACTACAAAATACTTACTTATTTATATTAGCTTTCTATAGTTAAGTTAAAAAACTTACATGGTAATCTAATCTTATGAATAATATATTTTAGCTTTTAGTTAATATTAGCATAATATATACATAAAATAGTATCGCTATGAAATTGCAGAAATATCAAAATAAAGTCGAAATTTTTTAAATCAAATTAAATATATGTATATTTGTATTAAAAGAAAAATTATAGATTGGATATTTTAAATTATAGCAAAAGAATGTTGAAAAGATTGGATTAAAAGAAAATAAAAATTAAACCAATTTTTTTTAATTGGTTCATTTTAATGAAATTAACACAAAATCTTTTATTGTTTTGTAAAACAAAGATTGATTGTTTTGTTTTTAATTATTTCAGTGAAATCCCTAAAAGAGAGAGAGAGAAAGAAAGTATATTGGATTTCAGCGTCATTTCAAGTATTGATATTATTTCCTACGATTTCTGTATATGAGAAAGAAAATAATTATGCATGTTATCTCGGATGAGCCAGCCACATTCTCAATATTTTTTATTACAGTAATTAATCTTAATGACAAAAAGCTTCCTTTTTATTCAAATATATAATTTAAATTTCGTTTTGTTTTATGAATTTACGAAGTAAAAAGGAAATTGAATCGGTGTTAAATGAAGGAAAGTAATTTTTAGATTTAACACTTTTAGTTTCCTATCTTTCATTTCTAAGTTCTCTATGGAGTTTTATAATTAGAAAAGAAGCAAAGCCTAAAATTTTTGTCGCATAGCAAAAAAAAAATGTAAATTATCAAAGGGAATGAAAACGAAGCTTATCTTCAAGTTGGATGGATGAATGATATGTAAGCATTTTAGCTCTTTTCAAACTTTCGCTTTCCTTCCTTCTTAAATTATTTAAAAAGGAAAAATTCTTTATGGTTCAAGTATCTTGTTTATATATATACACCTATTCCTATTTTCAATGATGATTTAAAATTCAAAAAAAAATCTTCATATTTCTTTCAGGAATTGAAATCTGAAAAAGAAAACGAAATTTAATTTTCATTAAAGCAAAAAGTTGAAAGTTCAAAGTTGAAGATAAATACTTAAAACTTCGATTCGAAAAAAATATATATACAGGAGCTATTTAGCTCTTTAAATCTCTTCTATTAGCCTAGCTTTTAATTCTAATATTTTAATATGAAATCTAACAATCCATTTCAATTTACAACATTGAAAATATTACTAAAATAGGCTGTTCATTCGTGAAATAGGCATATCCATTTATAAATGATTGAAAATGAGAAAAATGGGAAGGAATGAAATGGTTGTTAGTTAAAAAAAGGAATGCCATAATGACAAAATTTCGATATAATTGAAATTATTTGTAAAGTAAGAAAAATTTTCTTCTTTTTTCATTGTATTTTTTTTATATCGAATATTTAAAAATTTTTACAAATATTGAAATTAATATTTGAATTAATTGGAAATGCATAAAAGTGAAATAAAAGAAAGAAATCAATAATTTTATAAAGAAATAAATCTATCATTGATTAATGGATCATTTTATATGATTCAATAAGGTGTTGTAGAACGAGATTACAACATAATAGAATATTATGTTTTGTTTTATCATTTATTTGTAAAAAGAATCTAAATATGATCTTTGCT